TTGTGCCTTACTGCTTTGAATGTGTTTTTGGTTTTGCTTTGGTTTACTGTGTTTTTTTTTTAATTTGCTTGATCCTTCTAAATGTTTGCATACTTACTGTTTTTAGCTTTGATATTGCTAATAATCTGGTTGGTTGGTTTGGGATTGCGGGAGGAACTGGGTTTCCCCACGTGTCTGCCCCTATTCGGGCACTAGACCGACTAGCACTGGGAACACTGGGAGAGGAAAGCAACTAGCCCGGTCTTATTTACACCCTTCATCGCTTCACCTGTGAATCTGAAGAGGAGACTTGAAAAGCAGAAGCCTGGAAATCTGGGGTCTCATTTACATCTTGAAACTGTATGTCAGCAGGGCAGTTCCCCTCTTCTAACCCGGTGCTGAAGCCTATGAAAACCGCATGATATCCTCTAAGCGTGCTCACAACACTGGGCTGGATGGTGCCTGAATAGGATTACCGGGTTCCTCGCGTGTCAAGCAGTGTATGCATGAAATTTGCTTCTGATTTCAAGTGGCTAGGAAACCCTTGTAGGCAAGGGATCCGGTAGCTCTCTGTTGTCAGTCTTGACGCTCACGGGGTTGTAAAGAACTGCATGATCAAAAGGATAAATCTAGGAGAGCTGTTATTTGTCATTTCTTCAATCGATCGCTTCTAATCAAACAGTTGCAATGGCACTTTCTGGCCATATGTCGTGGGGGCGCTGGCGTCCAGTGGAGAAGAGCACGCCGCTCCATTCTCTGGGTCAGCTGACAGGGTCAGACCAAATGCAAGACTCCACGTTTACTTTTGCTGGAGTGCACAGTTCAAATCCCCAGCGCCTTACCTTTCATGTTGCAAGACTGTTTTTTTCTCCTGTAAAAGTTCTTTTAATGGCTTTCGATATTGTACTCTCTCCAAGCGGGTGGATTTTGTGCGAATTGCATCTTCCTACGTGGGGACTAGAGGAAAAATCTTCCTTGTTGGTTACAAAATAAGCTGCGCAAGTTTTCTCGTTGGCAGATAAAACGCCTGGATAAATTAATACGCCTCTGCCCTTATCAGATGAACCAAGCTGAAATACTCCCACAACACTTGCAGGAAAAAAAAGTGGAATGCACACACACACACCCCAGTATGATTTTCAAGTGACTCATCTACTGTGTATTTACTTTTTGCGCCTGAGGAACAAAGATAGCCCAAGAATTCATGCCATTTCATCTCTAGTGTATGCATCGGATACATATATTTTAGTTTAGTTTGAAGAAATCTGGGATCCTTAATGCGACTGAATGTACCTCCTCTTGTGTAAAGCAGTGCTAGTCAAATATTGGAAATTAGAGTGCGGCCTTCTAGGTGGTAAAAATTTCATGCAAAATTGCTGGGTTGGCATGTCCATTCTTCCGGATGTTCTTTTGAAGTTGAAGAGCGTAGCTTCAAAATTTATAAGAAATGTGTGCTTTCTGCAATTTGAAAGGCCAGGAAGATTCTATCAAGACAAGAAGTGGTGGGAAGTTTGAAAAGTTACCTTTTTAGGACTACAGTTCCCAGATTCTGGGATAGCCACACAACTGAAAACTACTGGTTTCCACTCCCTGACAGATAGTATAGTTTGAAGAATGCTGCTAGAAATTTGGATTTGAAAGGGGTAATTCCCCCTACAAAGGAAGGGTGTGCATTCCCATGCGCCCTCCTCAGAGGGCACAGCAATAGACAATAAATCATCACAATCAGGAAAGCAGAGTTATCACTGGAGCTCTTACTGGTGGTGGAGAGCAAAGCAGAGTCACAGGTTTTCAGGACTTTGGACAGCACAATGTGGAATGAACATGATCAATGGTTCCCAATCTTGGGTCCCCAGATGTTCTTAGACTAAAACTCCCAGAAGTCTTCACCACCAGCTGTTCTGGTCAGGATTTCTGGGAGGTGTAGTTCGAGAATGCCTGGGGACCCAAGGGTGGGAACCGTTGAACTAGATGGAAGTACAGAGAGAGCAGAGAGCTGCAGTCAACTGAAGCTTTGAAAATTATTGTCTGGCCTTCCAGATTCTTCGACCTATGCCGGAGGTTCCGTGCGCAGTTTCTACCGTCCGGTGCTTCTACAGCCTAAGAAAAGCTATGGGGGGAGTCTATCATCAGAGTGAGAGGCTGATAGGAAGTGGACATCCTTCAGAAGCTCAGCAAGGTTAACTTCCAGGCAACCTAATGTCCACGTCTAGCCTGGGGCCCCCGAAATGTTTTGGGAGTTGTGTTTTGAACAAGCGAAGTCTTCTGGTCTCCAGGAAGGCTTTTCTGGGCTTCGTCTTCTGAAGTTCTTCGTCTCTTCTTCCTACAGGTTGTGGGAATCTGTGGGACAACATTACTTGCTGGCCTGCTGCCCGTTTGGGCGAAACCAGAGTGTTACCCTGTCCGGTCTACTTCAGCCTCTTTTCAAAGGTTCGGGGTGAGTGATGTTGACGGCTGAACCAAAGGCAACAGCTAGTTTCTTCTTCAGAAGGGTTCCTTCTGTGCTCCGTTCAAGGAAGGTTCATGGTGTTGAAAATACTTTTTTTATGAGAAATATCCAAGAACCTCTTTCTTAGGATTGTGGTCCACTCCAGCACCACGAGGTGGTCGTATGTAGAACAGAGGGTGCCTTTTCAAATTGCAGTTAAGGGTTGTGTTTCCAAATGGCCTCCAGTGTTAAACAGTATATTTTGGCCTGATCAACAGCGACCCTTTCTTCCTTGTTCACCAAGCATGGTTGGATGGGTGGGGCGTCCCCCACACACTTGAAACAAGCTTCCATTTAGGATTAATTAATTACCTAACTTGGAAGCCTTGAGGAAAGCCTTGATAACCCCTTTAACTTCCATTGGCTTTGGAACAATGCTTTCTGTTGAAGGCTTTAGTTTGTAATTTTTGTTGCATGTACTGGATTTGGGTTTGTTTTTTTTTAAAAAAAATCAGAATCTATTGACTGAAACGAAGTCAACGGCAGTGGCAAATCACAGCTGGTTAGAGGCTTCCTTTAAGCAGTTTTGGGGTATATGGAACTTCATCACCTTGTGGAATTTTACAAGGTGAAAACTCTCCCCATGTACAGTGGTGCCTCGCTTAACGGCAACAATCCGTTCCAGGAAAATCGCTGTTAAGCAAAAACACCGTAAAGCGAAAATAAAAAGTCAATTGAAATGCATTCAAAACCTTTCAATGCATTCCAAAGGGCTAAAAACTCACTGTCCAGCGGAGATCCTCCATACGGCAGCCATTTTCGGTGCCTGTATAGCGAGGAATCCGTCGCTAAACACAGCGGGGAGCCATTTTAATTACCCGGCGGCCATTTTGAAACCGCCGATCAGCTGTTAAAAAAACATCATTTTGCGAAGAATCGGTTCCCGAAGCAGGGAACTGATCATCGGAGAGAGAAAAAACCCTCTTTAGACCAGTGGTTCTTAACCTTTGTTACTCAGATGCTTTTGAACTGCAACTCCCAGAAACCCCAGTCAGCACAACTGGTGGTGAAGGCTTCTGGGAGTTGCAGTCCAAAACTCCTGAGTAACCCAAGGTTAAGAACCAGTGCTTTAGACCATCGTTTTGCGATCACAAAAGCGATCACAAAAACGTCGTCATGAAGGATTCGTCATAATGCGTGGTAATCGTAAAGTGGGGCACGACTGTACTGGCTGGATAGCTCAGCAAATCGTCTTGCTGCAGAACTAGAGGTTGGAAGAGTTCAGTTTCCCCTATGCCTCTGGGGGAGAAGTGCCAGCTTGTATAGCCTTGGGCAAGCTGCACAGTCCCAGGGATCCCCCCCCCTCCAAAGAAGAAGGGAATAGGACACCACTTCTGAATATTCTCTACACTTAGAAAGCCCTGGAAAAGATGGCCATTGTAGTTGAAAATTGACTTGCCAGCATTTGATGATGGTGTCGGTGATTAAATATGTTCCCCCTAAGGTGCATCTTCTTTGCATAGGGTTTGCCTGACCATGTGTGTGTTTTTATGCAGGTCTTCCCCTTCCATACACGTTTTGAGCATGTCGTTTGGTAAAAAGAACTGCACGACAAAATTCAAAGAAATGCAAGAAGCAGAGAATCCTTTTGCCCCAGTTCACGTTGTAGCTGGAAATGGCAAAGTGGGTCGATTCAAATTAAAATGCAAGCCAGACAATTTTTCTCTCTCTCCATCTCACACCCTCGGGCTGCTAGGCTGCGGAAGCCGAGGTTTCCTGAATTGCCAGGTTCGACACTCTTGGCCTATGCAGAATGGAGCAGGATTTAGCCTTAACTCAATTATATCCATGCTGTCGTCCTCGTCCATCTCGCTGTCAGTTTCCAACCCTTTTTCCATTCTCCAGGGCCGGCTGAATGCCCAGCCTCCTTCCCTTTCCGGCTCTCCCTGAAAGCACCAATAAATCACTTTGCTCTCTATTTATGTTCTTTTGCAAACAGGTTAATCCCTCGACTTTGGTCCGCGTGTTCTTCACCTGGACACTTTTCCTTCCTGGAAAATCCCACTCCCTTCTGAGCTAGAGGTGAATGGGAATGGCACAGCCCTGCAAAAGGGGGTTGGTTCCTATACTGCCTTACCCGTGAATTGCCCGTGGAAACGGTTTTGCAGCCGGTGGAACTGCCGTCACTGGGACGTTATGGGACTCCTGCAACCAGCTCTGCTTAGCAGTCTGGCCACCAAGTTTTTGACCCGTTGAAGTTTCCGAACATTTTCCATAGGCAGCCCTGCATCGGTCATCTAGCCAGGATGTAACTCAGGCATGTGTCACTGTGGTCAAATCAGACCTTCGCAGGAAGGGGTGCAGTCGGCACACCGGTTCTAAGTGTGCAAAGGCACCCCTGACTCACGATCAGGAATTTCCAAGCCCCACAATGTTGCTCACCTCCATAGGCAGAAGAAAGAACAAAAGAGCAAAATCTTTTTTATCCGTCAAGGTTCCTGTCATTTGTGCAGATTCTTCTGACGCACGACGAGCGGGCTTTTCTTTTGAGCAGCAAAGCGCACAAACGCACTGATTGTCCTTTGGGGGCAACGAGTATTCATTTGTGGGAAACCGCTCTTTGCCTGCCCTTACGGGCCAAAATTTTGCTTGGCTTGCACCAGGTGGCGGGGAGGAGAAGCCACTCTCTTCTCGTGAACAGAGTGTGTCACAGAGCAGCTTGGCCATCTTGCAGGGTGAGAAGAGGAATCTTCCGATTTCTTACCTCTGGATGCAAGGAGCAGAGGGGAGATTTACATCTCTGCACCTAGCAGGCAGGGAGGGGGCCCTTCGGCCGCTGATTAGCTGCCCCAATCCCAGGAGAGCTCTCCCATTTCAAAGATCCTGAAGCCATCCTTCCAAATCTCTCTCTCTTTTTTTCCAGGAAGCAAGCCAGCAAACAGAGAGAAGCTGTCTTAAATACAGCTCGAGCTTCGCTCCAGAAACCCTTCAGTTTGAGAAGTCGGGCCCAAATCTGGGGCTTTGTATGTTCCAAAACAGAAAATGTTAGGTTCCCCAGAGTTTTTTTAATTTTTCCCCTTGGGAAAAAGACCCTGAAAATTTGTCTTGGGGGGTGAAATCCCTTTAAAACTGGGTTCCCCCCCAAAAAAATTTTCTATGTGTGATTTCCCCCCTCGGCTTTTGCATCTCTATGCCCCGTGTGCCAGCTCAGGTAGAGGAGCCTATTAGGCTCTTTTTGTGACTTTGTTTTGATGGCAGACTAACACAGCTTCTCCTTCGGAAATTCCTCCTGGTTTCATACAGTCAGTGGTATCATGGTATCTTTGGTCCTACAGATGCCCCTCGCGTCCGTCTGCACAACCAAACGCCTGTAGGGAGGCTTCAAAACTAAAGGGGGGCGATTGGTTCACCTACCCGAGACATTTAGTCCCAGGTCTTTTGCGAAGTAGATAGGGACGCGGTGGCGCGGCGGGCTAAACCGCAGAAGCCTCTGTGCTGCAAGGTCAGAAGACCAAGCAGTCGTAAGATCGAATCCACGTGATGGAGTGAGCACCCGTCGCTTGTCCCAGCTCCCGCCAACCTAGCGGTTCGAAAGCATGCAAATGTGAGTAGATAAATAGGGACCCCCTCGGTGGGAAGGTAACAGCGTTCCGTGTCTAAGTCGCACTGGCCATGTGACCACGGAAGATTGTCTTCGGACAAAACGCTGGCTCTATGGCTTGGAAACGGCGATGAGCACCGCGCCCTAGAGTTGAACACGACTGGACAAAAATTGTCAAGGGGAACCTTTACCTTTACCTTTTGCGAAGTCAGTGGCTCTTAATGGTGCCTTCCAGACCTAACCTCCTAGCTATTATGAGGATGGGAGCCCAGCTCAGAAGGAATCCTTGAGGGGTTTGGAGGGTGAGGTCGGAGTCCCTGGGGCTCAAAAACATGCCAGGGCTTTAGCCCTTTGACTGCACTCATTTGTGTGATCAAAGAGCCGGTGTGGTGTCGTGGTTAGAGTGCTGAACGCAGATGGAGGTTTTAGCTCCTCGTCAGCCATACAACCCGTTGAGTAATCTTGGCCCAACGGCTTTCTCTTTCAAGTTGACCTACCTGACATGGTTATTGTGAGAGGAAAGGGGTAGAAGGAGAGTTTCACTAGGGGAACAGAAAGAAAGAAGAAATGGTGATCGTGGTGGATAAAGAGGACTTTAGCTTCCATTTTACATGAGGAAATGTGAACTCTCAAATGGAGATCTGGCTGGAAAATCAACGTTTTACCATCATTTGTTGACCTTGGAATATTTATTCCAAGATTGATCGTTGTCTGTGCTATTCCATCTCCAGCTTGGACCGTGCATGAGACGGAGAAATTTCCCCCCAGATCATTTTTATTCTCTTTGTGTTTCTTAGCTCAACAAAATCCATCACACCAGCTTTTCGGAATCAGCGACAAATATAAACATCTCCTTCCACTTTTTGCCTCCAGTCTCTCTCTCATCTTTGAGCTGTTGCTTTGGAGTGAAAATGATGGATTTTGGAGTCTGGCTTTCGTATTCCAGCAGAATGTTGGGTAAACATTCAACCCGGAGCAGGGCCAAGTGAAATGAGCACCAAATTTGCTTGTGGGGGTGGGGTGGGGTGGAGGAATACGAGCAGCTGGAGTAAAAAGAGAGCCATTGCATTCTGCTACAGTGTTGAAAGCATGATGGTTGAAGGATTCTGGGAGTTGTAGTTAAAAGAAAAAGGAACTGTCCTATACTTTGGGTATCCTTGGTCCTTAATAAGAGAGCAGTCCTGTGGAAAATGGTGTCAAGGTGTTGTTAATGTCACGCAAAAGAAGAGTAGGATCTGTTCTCGATCACCCCAGAGTGCGGGACACACAATAACAGGCTCAAGGGACAGGAAGCCGGATTTAGGCTGAATATCAGGAAAAACTTCCTAACTGTTAGAGCAGTACGACAGTGGACCTCAGGAGGTGGTGAGTGCTCCAACACTGGAGGCCTTCAAGGGAAAATTGGACAATTGGGAACCACCAAAAACCGGTTTGTCCAGAGGATGAACTGGCATGAACCACTTTGTGCCCATCTCAATAGAAACACTGACTCTGACTGCCCACTGGTTGCAACTGACTAAAGAAAGGTGGGGGGAAAGAGACGTGAGTAGAGAGGCGGGCCTCTCTCCAAAATTCCGAGGCACCGAGGGAACAATTGGCTGATGCTGGATGGATTGACAGTTCGTGCCGCTCCCTCCCGGCCAAAACCTCTTAAAGGCAGCCTAGGACAGTTGCGGTCATTCCAACATGGAGGACACGATTCTCCAGCCAGCAGATAACATGAAGGAGAGAACGAAAACCGTTTTTATCAGACTTTCTGAGTATTTATCTTAAGGTGGAGAAATTGAAATACCTTGTTCCCTTTACAGGGGTGGGAACAAGCTTGGTAAATGTGAGCCATTGCTATGCGCACCCATGTCACAGAAAGGTTGGCTGGAACGCCATCAGATCACATCACATATTGCATCATTAACGCAAATGACTGGGTCACCTATCAGGATTCTGCACTCCAGCCTCTTGGTTCCCGTCGAACCAGGAATAAAGGCTATCTGAGAAGGATTGGTATTACAGGATACGATGGCATCTTATTTCGTGGTCATTTTAGGGTTCTTCCATGGAAGTTGTGAAGGAAGAAAAAATAAACAATGATTACCTGGAAGGCATGTGTTGGGGGCTGATCATGGATTATAAGCAGGGCCAGGCCTGATTCGTACTTCGGATGAATGGGAGACCACCTGGGGGTTAAAAAACATGGATCTCCAGGAATTCAGAATCTGGGATCTATTGCTACCCAGAATTGGCAATACTGGGGCAAGGTGGCTGGAAAGGGGTCGATTTAGTACAAGGCAACTCCCTAGGTGTGTCAAGGTATGTCATGCTGCAGGAGACAAACACGGTGTGGTTCTGGTGGTTGAACTATGGGGATTAAACTCAGGAACATGCAGAACAGATATCGCGCCTGTGTTTGGCATAGATGGTGAAGAATCAGAAGGGAGTCTGATTCTGCAGTTTGGGATGAAGCAAGAGTCCCGTGCAGGACATGCCGTTCTCTTTAAGGAAAACGAGGCATGGGCCAATCGCAGTGACCAATCCCCTTGGCTGTTCTTCCTGTGCTCTCCGGTTGTTCCACTTGCCGTTTTACAATTCTGTTGTTTTGCAATTCCTCCATCCCCTTCTTTTGGGGCCACCCTGGGACTACCGTGCAGCTGGCCTAAGGCCACCCAGGCCGGCTCTTCTCCCTGGAGACGTACCGTGGGGGGAATCGAACTCCTCAACCACTGAGCTCTCCAGCCAGCTCCAGACATACAGTAGCTGTTAATTATTACAAGAAAGAAAGAAAGCTGGCAGAGGGACATGAGTGAATACGATTTCCCTGAAAATAAGACCTAACCTGAAAATAAGCCCTAGTGTGATTTTT